CAGGAATTTACAAATTTGGTTTCATGTAATATATATACATATAATTTCATGTAATATTTGGGGTTGCAAAAATCAGGGAGGAGAGAATTGAAAATTATACAAATAGTCTCAGTGCCTGATTTATTTACCTACCCATCCAAATTGAGCAACACTGAAACTGAACCTAACTGTATATATGCAGGAAAATATGTTCAAAGTTATTTTGAGATACTTTGGAAATATTACCTTCATTTACTCCAGGTTATTACCCAGTTAATCACAGTTATATAATAATCACATTCAGGGCATCATAAACTGTTGTTTTATTTTGCATGTGTGTGTAAAAAAAGGGTGTTAAACACCTATCTTATTTATTTATCCATCCATCTATCTATCTATCTATGTATCTATCTATGTATCTATCTATGTATCTATCTATCTATCTATCAATCTATCAAGGGGGAAGTAACAGTGATACTGGGATGTCTTCACAGCTAGAAAATCTCAAATCAATGCTGAAATTTGACCCAGGCTTGGCATTTCTGTAGTGAATAGGTCATATAGAACTTGTTATTTGAAACATGTCCTTTTTCCTCTCTTTTCTATGTCTCACATCTAATTAAATAATATAGTGTTACTGTGAACCATGATGTCTTGATTCACGCTGGATATTAATATCTTACTACAATTTAGAGAAATGAATTAAAATCAGTTGTTCCATGTTTTTTAAGAATGTGGGGGAAACCAGAGCACCTGGAGAAAACCCATGACACCACAGTACACAACCATAACACTCAAAAGGTATCCTTGGATTCTGTCACACTATTGTCCACTGAGGTGACCCTAAGAGAGCAAGACCTGCCCCACAACCAGGAGACTATGGAAGTTATCCCCGCCAAAATGTTCCATTAGAAGGCAAACTTCATGTGAAGCAGGACTGCAGCTCTTTATTCAACTTGTTTTTTTTTTTAAAGGAGTTTCACATTCACTTAAACAACACCAACTCTGTTTGAAGATCTTGTCACACAGAGGCGAGAAGAAACTGCAGATGGTGTTGCGCTGTTCTCGTTGTGTCACGTGATGTTGGAAAGAGGAGGTGATGCATTTTGCCACTTTTTCTGCCTGTACTTGCATAGAAACCATAAGTAGATTATTGGAGTTGTACCATTTCTAATAAAGATCTTTGAAAATGACCTTGTGGAGTGTTTTCCATTTTCTGCTGTGTCAAAGTCGATATCTTCAACCTTTGCCCATGTCTGTCTGACTTCTTCCTACTCCATTCAAACATGTGCTGGGTATAAGCAAACTGATTCTGGATTAGCTGTGGTTGGCTTTGTGTAATCATGTGTGTGTGTTGATGTCATTTGTTCTGCATGTTTGAAAGAATAAATCAAATCAAATCAAATCAAATGTTTTGTCTTAATGATGATCTTAATGATGGCTTCTGGCTTTCCTAATCTAATGTCTATTTTTGCTTTTCTGTATGTCTTGGAAACCAGCATTTCCACCAGCAAGCTGACACACACCTTATTTTTCTTTGTATGTAATTCTGCATCTTCGACAGGTTCCACACATACTGTGGCCAAAACACTGCCAGCTGCCAAAGTCATTGTATCCTCCACAACATTGATGTCTAGGGGCAACTCTAAATGTGGTTCTGTTATTTCTAACTGTCCTTGGCTAACCGTGTCCTGGACAGCCACCGCAATTTCTGAGCTGACAGGTGACTCAAATTCATGCTGGATGTACGGTGAGCCTGGCTCTGTGGAGCTGGGTGAGCTTTTCGTCATGCATGTTATGCTGAAAGAGTTCACTTTTGCTGTGAAGGCCTTCAGCTGTCTGCAGATATGGTCAGTCATATCATTCTGTCTGCAGGGGTGGGTCACATCAGGTTCTGCAGAGCCCTCAGTGGACCGGGAGTGAATGCCTTCTCTGACTTCCATAACAGTTAAGTCGTTCAAATGTTCTGCGCTGGCATCCTTGATGTCAGTGGTTTTGGAAATACTCCTACATGGTGACAAACTCTCAATAATATTCTCAGCGATGTCTGCTGGGAATTTCTTTTAATGTCCTTGAATGATTCACTTTCAGTAAGATTCATTTCAAACAAATTCTTTGTGAAATCATTGGGCTTGTCTGATTTTAGCAGATCCAACTGTTCCCTGGCCAGCTGTATGAAAATACTTTTCATTGGTGGAATAGCTTCTTCCAAGCAAATGTCCAGCAAGTATTGGACTTAGGTATTTCTGCTGTAGGACTGTCCACTTGTATTTTGGCTTCCACTATTTTTCTATTCTTCTATTATCAGTATTAGCTAAACGTCTCTGAATTTATCGGACCTGTGTTTTGTGAAATACTACTCTCTAATGTGTGAAATACTACTATCTAATGTAAGCTTCTGTAAATGATGTCACCACTACTTCAAAGCACCACAGAGACAGAACACAACAGGTCACACTCTGAGAACCTTGCCCGGTGGGGCAGAGCGGGGGGCAATTCCTCGCTCTCCATTGATAATGCATGCACACCTTTCTTCCCTGACAGACTCCGCAACAGGCGCCACACACACACACGCAATTTTTAGAGTACAGTGACGACATGTCTCAGTATATCTAATGTAAGCTTCTGTAAATGATGTCACCACTACTTCAAAGCACCACAGAGACAGAACACAACAGGTCACACTCTGAGAACCTTGCCCGGTGGGGCAGGGCGGGGGGCAATTCCTCGCTCTCAGCCAACTACAAAACTCAAATCCTGCTTTTACATAAGTGCATAAGTGATAGGCTATTAATGTAATATTATAATATAACCCCCCTCATTATTGTCCAAAACGTTTAATATAGTCAAAAATGTTGCGGAATTTGTTACTGTATTTTTAGTGTTAACTAGTAAATGTCGATTTCTTTTTACTCATCTTGACAAAACATTAGTCATTTGAGAGCACTTATCCTTTTAAATAACATTTTAGGTCGAGAAATGTGACGTCAGTTGCGAAACATTGTTCCGGCGGGATTCGTTTCTATACGGCGTCCTATTTAGAGACACCGTTTCACTTCCTGTTAGGGTTTGCGAACGTACACACAGATGATAATCAATTTTAGCCGTTACTGGTCATCAAATATCAATGTAGCGTAAACACTCACTAACAAAAATGATTCCTTACACTGTCAATATCAAACTTGCTGCTCGGACATTGACTGGCACTCTCGATTTGCAGAATAAAACCGCTGTAGATTGGTGAGTAATGCACCTCTGACGCTAGCATAATTCTGTAACTTAGCTGGTTAATTTAGTGAAGATGCGTGACTGACATTATGTTTACGAATCACAAGTCCATTGTATGCGTTTTGTTATATTGTTCCTTTCTGCTGCTTACACGCCAGTGTCGCTAATAATGATTTCCCCCCCAAGGTAACTTGCAGGGTATCTTGTGTCTAGCTCCAGCTCTGTGACATACTATATGTATGTAATACTTGAGATTCACAGAGCTGGGGTTGTCTTGTCTCATGTCATGTGATATGACATTTTGCTCGGCCTGATGAATTTCTTTAGCCTTATCCCTCAGTGTTAGTCCAGTAGGGACTGTGACTACAGTGTGACTCAAGTGCCATCAGCATTAATGCCACATACCTGCCACTCACTGCCAGGCAAAAGTTTAGAAACATTCCATTTCAGTGGGTTTTCGTTGTTTCTATTCATTTGTACAAGGTGGATTAATACTGAAGACACCAAAACTATGAAATGACACATATGGAGTTATGTAGTAAGCAGTAAAGTTCATTTTGACTGGTAATGAAATGAACCGATCAGCCATGTGGTAAATATTTCAATATCCACCATTCAAACCTTTCATTTTATCATATTTGACACAGTTGTAAGTGTAATCTTTCTGAATTGTTTCTAAATTCAGTGGCTTCAGAAGGCATCGTTATCACAAATGAAGGCAAACAAGATGCATCTGACCATAACTTGGGGTGTCACAGCAAAAGGGTGTGAATGATTTTTTTAGATGAAAGATTTCAGTTTTTCAATATTAATTGATTCTAAAAAAATGCATTTTTGCATCTTCATTTGGGGTTATTTAGTGTACAGTTGATTGATGGGTAACAAGGGCAGTTTTATCAATTAAATCTACTGTACAATAAAGTGTGCAATATAGCTGTATTATAGATTTTTAGGCACATAGTGTAATATTCACCTGCAGTTAACTTCTCTGTTATTTTTCCTGTTTTTGTCCGGCCACATATGAATGCAGACGTTTCATGCACACATGAAGTGGAAGACTCAAGCTACTGGTTACTGATAGTAGAGGTTATAAAAATTGGTGTTAGGTCAAGTGGGCACATCTTGTGATATTGTCTTATAAAATGATTCAATTCACATCTCAAATCTTGCTGAATGTGGTCTTGTTCATCATTTGGCTTGATCTCCCACCTACCAACCAACTCTTTTATTCTGCTGTGGAAAGAACATTCCCTCAGCTTTCTCTTTAGTATCTGTCTCTCCATGTCTTCTCCTTGTCTCTGGCTCTCATGCACCATAGGGGTTGGCAGGGGCTGATAGCCCAGGGGTGTCACTCCAGTATTCTCATCATTGATCCAAAGACAACCCAGACTATCCAGGTTCTGGAGAGACACAAAACCAATGTGGTTAAGGTGAGTTTCTGAACTTTTTTTTTTAAATTTGTGTGACTAACAATTATATTCATTTTTAATTAGTCAGTTGGTTATTTTCTCAATTGTTTAGTCTATAAAATGTTGTAAAAAATTCCAAATCCAGATTCCAAAGTGATGTCCAGCCATCAAATGCCCTGGGGAATTTAAGTTATTATCAAAGAAACAAAAAAGCAAAGCAGCAAATCCTCCACTTAAGCAAAATTCTTAAAACTTTTGCTTGGAAAAAGTGTAGAATCACTGTTGACAGTTAATGTGCTTTCAAATGACTAATCAAGTAATTGATTAATAGTTGCAGACCTGCTCCATGAATTAGAAAATATAATTTGATATCTGTCAGTAAATTAAGCAGTTGGAGGAAAATCAAACTGAAAAGGCCACAGAGAAATAACTGACAAACTAGTGTAGACTATTTAAAATTTAGTTGAAAGCATTTAATGTTACTGATTGGTCTGATCAATTTGAAAAGAATTCACTGGATAAAGAGAGTTTGTTGTGGGACTTCTTTCTCTTCATTTTGCCTATTTTTTCTAAAACACAGAAAAAGTGTTTATTGAATATCTGATTACTGATTAAGACGTAAATCTTGCCTGCTGGCGGCTTTGGCTCAGGAGGTAGAGCGGGTCGTTTCCTAACCAGAGGATTAGCAGTTCGATTCCCGGCTTGTACAGTCAACATGTCGAAGTGTCCTTGAGCAAGACACTGAACCCCCAGTTGCTCCCGGTGATAACACCGGTGTGTGAATGCGTTAGTGCTTGGGAGTGCGAATGGGTGAATGGCTGAATATGTGAAAGCGCTTTGAGTGTGCTGTAGAAAGGCGCTATACAAGTATAAGACCATTTACCATAAGACCATTTACTTTAAGGCAGCATATATGATTTGATATGCTTTGTAATGTTGTAAGTGCAATTTATACTGTGTCCTTCACATACATATACTGTATATACCAGTTTCTTGGAGATGCTGAATGTGCTTTTCAGGTGAAATACAAACATCGCTGCAGATGGGAGTAATATTTTATCACTTAGTATTATTATAAGTTTTCTGTGACCTTGATATAAGTTGTTTTTGTCGCTCTGTGGTAAACATAGTCAGCTCTGCTCCAGTGTGTAAGCCAAAAGCAGAAATACTGATAAAGGTTGCTTGTACATTAATGGCACACAGGTTCTGTTGTGTCTGTGTGTGCGTGCGTGCAAAATTGTGTATTTCCTATAGGGTGTGTATTTTATTCTACTTTTCTGTATTTTCTTCTGTAAGCCCGTGTGTACACCGAACAGCCATAGCGTTATGACCACTGACAGGCCAAGTCAATAGCACTGATTATCTCATTACAGCAGCACCTGTCAATGTTGGAGGTGTATTAGACAGCAAGTGAACATTCAGTCCTCAAAGTTGATGTGTTGGAAGCAGGAAAAATGGGCAAGTGTAAGGGTCTGAGTGACTTTGACAAGGGTCAGAGCGTCTCCCAGACTGCAGGTTTACAGGGTGTTCCTGGTCTGCAGTGGTTAGTACCTACCAAAAGTGGTCTAAGGAAGCACAAACAGTGAACCGTCGATAGGGTCATGGGCGCCCAAGACTCACTGATAGTGAGGTTGACCTACTGTGTATTAAACTTTTAAATGTCATTCATCCTTTTCAAAAGATTACATTTCGTTTGGATCTTTACATTGGTCTATATGATTAGAAACATTCAGCAGTTATAGTGGTGACATCACACCTGGAGTGGGGAGGCTATTTACATAAGTTTTTCACTGAATGACAAACTAGTGTAGAATATTTCAAATTTAGTTGAAAGCATTTAATGTTGCAGATTGGTCTGATCAATTTGAACTATGGAAGCAAACGGATTCATAGAAGATGCACAGTGAGCTGCAGAGTGACACGGGTGCCAACCAATTGTCACACTGACTCCTGTGTACACAGCACAATATTAGGGAGGTGGTCATAATGTTATGGCTGATGGGTGTATATGGACTGTAGTAAAAATCTGTAAGGCAATCACCAAAATGTCAGAATGGTTCCATAGTATCTGACAGATTCTTGTTTTGTGTTTGGTAGGTGAAATGGTCCATAGAAAACTACTACCACAACTTGAGTTCACCCTACTGCTTGAGGCTGGCTTCAGGAGATGCCTCAGGGAAGATTATAGTGTGGGATGTGGTCAGTGGCACTGCCCATTGTGAGATCCAGGAGCACTCCAAACCTATCCAAGGTAAGGGATCTTCCAGAAACCCACCCTTCCCTTATGGAGGATTAGCCTAAACTGATCTCTTTAGGTCCATCAGCTGACTACAGGAAAGGGACATTACCCTGTCGGCATTCATTCTTTTTACTAATGTGCTCTTACCATCAGTTGGTCTTTCCTGTTACATGCTATGCCTCCATCTTCTTCGTTCACACATTCTCCTCACTGTCTTGTTCCCTTTCCCTGCCAGACTTGGAGTGGTTGTGGAATCAGGATGCATCTCGCGATCTGCTGTTAGCTGTCCACCCTCCCAACTATATTGTCCTGTGGAACGGAGACACCGGCACCAAGCTGTGGAAGAAGAGCTACGCTGAGAACATCCTGTCCTTTTCTTTTGACCCCTTTGACTCGTCCAACATGGCATGTACGTGGGTGACATGCTGTCCAAAATTCTGACTCAGCTTCAGTTCATTTCCAGTTTAATTTTTTTGCTTTCTTGCCCACATTTACACACTATGTCTCTGTATTGTAGCTGGAACTCTTAAATTTACAATTCATCAACGTCAGTATGCGATGAAATGCCTGAACACATATCAGACACGTGGTGTCACCTTTTCAAAGATGCATGGCTTTTCTATTATGTTAACAGCTGTGTCACTAGTAACATCTCATTTCCTATACTTTGCTCTTTTTGAAAAAAGTACTGACAGCAGCTGTGACAAGCAAAAAAATGTTTTTCCTCTTCTTTCATTGCAGTATTGACCAGTGAAGGAATAGTCTTTATCACAGACTTTTCCCACAACAAACCACCTAGCAGCGCTGGCAAAAAGGTATACATCGCCAGCCCTCATGCAAGCCCCGCCCACACCAAACCTGTGCCTGCTGCTGCCCCAGCCTTGGCCCCTACAGGAGCCAAGAAGGCCCTCAACAAGGTCAAAGTGCTCATCACCAATGAAAAACCTACGTAAGAACCACTGGATCTGACTTTTGCTCTGCAAGTGTATTTCAGATCATTTATGATGTTTTTACAGTAACAAACTTTCTCTAGAATTTATTGTGTGATGGTCAAAAAAACAGTCTCTGGTCAATAAATGAATGGCCTGATATCCCAAGCATGTTAGAGCTTTTACATTTATTAATTAGGTTGATTAATTTCTAAATGGCCACCAGTTCATTGATTCATTGCCGGTGAGCCCCCTGTCCAGTAAATTTATTGCACATTTCCAACAGTTTTAATCATATCAGTCTTAGAAATATGGCGCAGCCTTTCTTAGAGTCGGCTCAGTGAGTTTTATTCATACAAAGTTCTGAGAGCTAATTTTATCAGACAGTTTTTAGGCTCAGGGCATCTTAAGCTACAAAGTGTGTGTACAGTATATGCCTTGATCTGTAGTTAATTGGCACCTGTCAGCATGCTTCAGTTTTGTCTTTGTGGTGTTTGATTAATCATAGGTTTCATACACTAGATACGAGTGTAAACTACAGTAACTTAATCATTCTTGGGAGCACGTTAACACAATAATGAATGAGCTGTCAGTGGGTGGAGTCGACTTGTCTATATTGTGCTGCTCTTCCCCTTTTTAGCAACAAGTGGACTGGTCGGTTGAAAATGAATCATGACAGTTTGTCTGTGTGAAAGGAATGACATATGACACACCTGTTTGGCACCTGAGGGTTGTCAAAGTTTTTTCAATCAGTGTAGAGTTTGGTGTACAGATAAAGTAAATCTTTTTCCCCAAGGTTTGAGATGACCAAATGCAGTCAGAATTTTTGGAGAGATATAACTGTCATATCAGGTAAACATACCGTATATCAATCAGCTGAAAGGCCTACAGTACATTTCCCTGGAGGATAGGGAATAGGGGATTTGATCATGTGGCAGATTTGTCAAACTGCTTGTTGATACTAAAACACACAAGAAGTGGCGGCTAATCTTATTTTAATGACATCAAGTGACAGGCCTGTCCCACCGTATAAGATATTACCTTGAAAAAGAATGTGATGATTAGGAATCAGTGGCTTGTTTGATGTGCTGGCAGTTTCCTGCCTGAGCAGTTGAGACTGTCAAACCGACTTATTTATAGCAGCTGCACTGTGGCCTGTATGTCCGACCAGCCAGCCAGCTCTAATAACAAACACTCCATTAATCTTACTTGTCTTTGTTCTCTCTCTTGCCTCCCTTGTGTCCGTTTCAGTCTTTATGTCTTCTATTGGTATGTGACTCCTTCCCTCACCTTTCACATGGTGTGTGATTGCTCTTGAAAATGCTGTATTTCTTCAGTCTGCCTTGGTTTGTGTGTCAGTTTTGGGTGCTTGTCATAGTCGGTGTTAAAATAACTCTCCTCTCTGGCTCTGTCTCCCTTCGATTGACAGATGGAGGATTTAAACAAGACTGTTCTGTCCCACTGTTATTGGAAAATCGTTGAGTACAGTACTGTAACGTGCACAGTAGTGTGGTTATTTATCTGGTCGTTACGCAGCACAGATTTGGTCCCTTTATCAAGATGACAGACATGGGATTCCTGCTCACGCTGAAGCATACTTGTTTATACGCAAACACACAAACTACAAAAGTCATAATCACAATAGTTAGTCGATTATTTTCTGAGGCATGTTGTAATACAGAAGATTTCAGACAGGCGTGGTTACTGTGGTAACTGCACCTGTCCCAAAATGTTGGGCCCAACTCAACTTGAGCAAAGAGTTTGTTATAAAAGAAGAGCAACTGGTGAACCTGTTTACGGTGCAACTAAACTGTGTTTTCAGTCTGTGTCACTGATGTTTGTTCATCGCATGATGACTAACCACAGTGACAGATGCACTGAGCTTCCTGTGACTGCTGGACAATAAAACCCACCCCTTATTTCATCAGTTCTTTTTTCATTAGTAACTTAGCACAGCACTTGAACGACTTCCCTGTGAATCCCTTGTGTGTGCAAAGGCAGTTTCAGTCCAGTGTGGCAATTGTGGACTGCCTCCAGTGATGAAAACCACAATGCATGAAAACTCAGTTATAAAAATCATGAAACATCTGCTATCCAAAGTTCAAGAAGGGCATAACCTGAAGTGGGCAAGGTTCAATAATGTCTATGGTGTAGAAACCTTTTTTGTTGTTGTTTTTGTCTGTTGTTGATGTAATGATTTCTAAGAGTTTGAAATTTTGTTTCACCTCATTCATATCCAAGCCAAAGTCATGATTTATTCACCACTGCCTGCCTATATCAAGTGTATTCTGTATTGTATGGACATCAGAAGTTCAAGCTGAAGTTACTGCATAATGTACAAACATTGTATTTGATTTTAATGTCCACTGGGTTGATTGTTATTATTAATTTCATACTTACATAGTAAAAGATAAAGGGTTCTTCAAAGCTTCACTCCTCCTCTGAGGTAGCCCTCTCTGCTATTAAACACACCCTGGTGAGAGATGTGAGGAGTGTATGATACGGACATTTTACAGTTGAATATTTTGGGAGAGTTTGGGGTTAGAGAGATTTTTCTTTCTCTGAAGACCTTCTTTTTTAGCGTCTAAGATAAAAGTCTGTGTCTTTCTGATGTTTTGCCTTTGGTGACATTTTAGCCCCTATCTTTGCTTCACCTGACTTCAGTGAGCTGGTAGCAGTGTGATTTAGCTCAGTGACTCCTAAAGTTTTCCCTATTGAGCTTGTTTTATTGGTTGCACTTTCCCCAAGATGATAATGATCTCCATTGTGTTATAAAGTTTCTTTCTCCTTTATTTGATCTCACCATTACCTGGAGGAATGGAGCTGTAGGAATGAGTAATGGCCAAGGACTTGCTCGTAGATTCTGTGAAAATCAGCCCTTTTGTTCTTTCTTGATTGGACTGCCAAGTATTTACGACTGTTTTGTTGTCATATGGGGAGATCGACCCTGGTGGCTGTCATGGATAATAGTATTTGTAATTAATTTAAACACACATGAAAGCAAACAGACTTGTTATAGTATCACTGTCGAAATAATGGAAGCGATTTTTGTCTGATGCTGCCAATAACTGCTTAATTCATCAACCTCCCATCATTAGACCAGGTTTTCCCTCATTTTCCTGTGACAGAGACCACAAAAGTAATAACTAATTCATTCAGTCTTCTGTATGGGAAGACATGAATAAAAAATGAGTTCATCTTTGAAATGAGAGAGTTATTAAACTTGTTTTGAGACGTTCTAATCCATCATCACACTGGCGTACGTGATATTTGCATATTTCATATGCATGTGGTGGTGTTACAGCAGAGTCATTATATCTTTGGTGATGTGTCTGCAAAATAAAACTGGCAGTACATCATATTATCTGGACTTTTGTTTCTAGTTATAGCTAGCCTGATGACAAGACATGGGATTCCGTCAAACAAGTCTTTTGTGCTTTATATTTAGCTGAAATATGTATACACATCCATGACAGTGGCCAGATGTAAGAAATGTTGAATCTAAGAAATAGTTGGGCACAGTTATCTCTGAAAATAGTCAGTTTATCCAAAATTAAATGCATTTTTTAGGCCTTTAGTTCACCCTTTCTGAGCACATACCACATTTTGTTTTTCAGAAAATAACACTGAAATTCATTTTCTTTCCTCAATTTTTGCTGCTGTAGTGCAGAGGCAGTGACACTGAATGACTGTCTGCAGCTGTCCTACCTGCCATCCAAGAGGAACCACATGCTGCTGCTTTATCCCAGAGAGATCCTTATCCTGGATCTGGAGCTCAGCCAGACAGTGGGCGTGGTGGCAATCGAACGCTCAGGGGTGCCCTTCATTCAGGTGAGGCACTGCTTACATATACAGCAAACTCGGTGTAATAGGGATTTCATTAAAACTTGACTGAATACGGGTTTGTGGAAGTTGCAAACCTCAAAAGAGCTGACCTAGTTTTTTTTTTTTTGGTGAAAGTACAGTGGTTAATTTACCAGTTGCATGAATTTCAAGGTCAGAATTCTGTCCGCTC